TGCTCGTCACCGAGCCCCTCCGGCCCGCCCTGCCCGCCCCCGGCGTCGAGTTTGTCGTCGGCTCCGAGGGTCAGTATCAGGCCTCCCTGCGCTGGATCGCAAGGAGGACAGAAGCCTTAATGAAACACTTGCAGAGCAACAACGTGAAGCTGTTACTGTCGAGCGTGAAGCAAGACGAACTAGTTATCTACTATGCAAAATTATACGGTGTGTCCGTGGTAGAGTGCTTGTCGTCGGAAGAAATGGCCCTTATCTGTGAAATCACAGGGGTTTTGCCTTACGCGCCTTGTGGTGATAACATAGACGGAGAAATCACTGAAACTGCAGTGGCAACGTTTTGCCAGCCCTTGCTGCTCGGCTCAGAGAGATGCGTTCACATTGGCCTCACCAGTGTGTGCGCCTTTCAGCCCCATTGCCTAGTTCTTTGTGGGCCGGTCAGTGGTGTTAATGAGCAACACGCTGCGGCTTTACAAGGGGCATTTACAATGCTGCAGCAGCTGTTTAAAACAGTTGATCAGAGGGAGGAACGCAGAGAAGGTGAAAGGCAGAATGAAGCCTCGTATGTTTGCAGTTGGCATTCTTCAGCTACTCAGAAGCAACTCGTAATAGAAAATATTTCTTGTAATAGCAATGAGGTTTCTGAACATCAACGGAAAGCAAGTGGGGATGAAACAGAGACACAAATTGTAGACCCTGATGTGCAGGGAAGTGAAAATCCGGCATGTGTGCAAACAGACTTGCAAATATCCTGGAATCCCATCTCGCACATCAAAGAATTCAATGTTGCCGCTGAAGGAGACGGCTCATCAAGACACATACAGAAACTACATGCAAAATGTGAGCATCCGGGTGACATGCACAAAAACTATAAAAGCGATTCACTTGTGGACAATCAAAAGAACTACGGGACTGCTGTGTTAGCACCATGTAATGCTAATGCAGTCGCTGTGTGTGAATGCCTAGATATTGGCAAAGATCTAGAGGAAACGAGTTGCAATATAGTTCCATTTAAACATGAAAAGAGTTGTGTAAGTATTGCACAGACTTACTCCAACTCCCTCATAGCAGCAGGATCAGTTTTGCCAGTAGGAGGTTACTTTGAAATCCTGTTACATTATTATATTCAGTACTATGCAAAACAGTTTCAGCAGCCAGAGGTATCTGTCGTATCTGATGTAGTTGCTGATGCTTTGCTAAGTATTCCCAAGTCCTTGTACAGGACAACAGAACGAAACAGCTTTACCGAATTCTATCTCAAAGCCATAAATTCGCTGAGAAAAAATCAACCATTGCCTATGCAAGAGAAAGGCTTAGAATCGGTGTATTGCAAATACCAGTTAGTCATTTCAGTTCTTCATTGTGTTACAGAGCTGCTCTCCATAGATTTAATCATTGGTATTAAGCGGCCGCTGCAAAAAATCGAGGATTATGATTCAGAAGATGACTTCTGAAATCATTAATAAAGAATGTTTTTGGTTATGTGTTTTTGTGTGTCTTCTTGTCAAATGGCTGTGTCTCAGAATTCAGTGCTAGAGACTAAAAGAGCTCTTTTTAGGCCCAGACACGTAACGTGCTGCTTTCCTCGTAGAAGAAAAGGAAGAACGAGGCTAACCAACTGAGATTTGTGAACACTGGGTTGTGAACAGCACGAACTTGAAGTTTCAAACACGAGAAAACGTAGCAGATTTCCAGTGCGGAAGATTTGCAGAACCTTTTCTGTCCACACGCAGAGGATCCTGTGTAGGCTCTAGCCGAGGGCGAGCTTTGCCTTTTTCGGTGGTTTGAGTGTTTATGTCAGCTAGATGGGATGACTTTTCTTGGCACGTCAGAAGTTACCAGTACGACATGAGCCACTGAACTTGCAGGTTATGAGCAAGGGGTATTTTTAGCCTTCGTAATAGGCTGGATTGAATGTTATTTTAAATAATAGTATTTTTGTATATATTGTGGTTTTTAATATAATGGGAAAAATATAACTTGTTAACCTGTTGAGCCTTGGTGCCAGCAGTGGTAGGCTGCCGCAGTATATCCCAGTGAAGAGTGTTCTCGACTGATAGGAGATGTGGCATTTTTATCCTCTACTGAGTTCACTTCAGTCAAACTAATAGAGTTCATAATAATTTCACATCGTGACTGGCTGGCATTTGCGCTGGCAAATGAGTTTATGTGATGTTACTTAGTACAACTTAATTTTAACTATCCTGGGTTGAGTTGTGCTTCTGTAAAAGGCTGTGTCATCGCGGGAATAGTTTACACAGGCAATAATGCAGTTTTCTGTGAAAAACCTGAGACAATTTTTCAGTTCAAACTTCGATTATTTGGGATTTTATTCTGGGTTTTTTGGTTTTTTTTTTTTCTTTTCTTCTTTTTTTCCCTAGGATTTTAATAAGTTTTGCTTTAAGCTCAGTATCACCTGGACGTCAATACATCTCCCTCTCTACTGTGTCTTAAAACCCACAGGTTTGGTGGGGGAGAGTTTGGGGAACCAAACAGCTGCAGCTGATATTGCTATTGCATTTGTTCTCTATGTGCTGTTGCCGGTATTGCGTAATACTTAGAATAACTGGATTTTTTTTTTTAATCTGCCATTAAATAAAATGTAGTGAGGATATTTAAAATCATAGGAATAAATCATATTTAGCTGCTATACCTGAGATGATTACAACTGGAAATCAGATTTTTTTTTCGCTGTTAATTTATGCTGTTGCTTTCTCTTTTTCAGTTTTTTCAGAAGAATCTATCTACCAAAGTTCTTTCAGGTGTTTTGGCAGCACTGCTTTGTTTAACTACAACTTCCTGTTGAAAGTTTATATACATTCTTAGTAATATAAAATACTGTAAATTTTTTTTTCCTAATGCGCTCATACAGACATCTGCATATGAAAAACAGTGAAACTTTTGTGTTCACTAGAGTGATTTCTTAAATGAAGGACTAGGGACAGTAACTTATTTTTTTTTAGGAGCACTTTTGGTGGGGGAGAATTAGACACGGAGGAGAGGAAAGAAAATCACATTCTTGCTGTTACCACGTGCTTTCGGTAGCTGCTTAACGTAACAAGTCCAGTATGAGCGAAGAGAAATCTCCGTTGTGGAAGAGCTGGTGTTTCGGAGCTGAGTGCCCGGATGGTCTCGGGGCTGCGCGGGAGCTTCCAGCAGCCCCGGTGCTTGAGCAGGCCCTTGGGGTCTGTATTTTAACTTCATAATAAGCTGCCAAGACAGTTTTGCTCTTGCAGAAGTTTCTGGATACTCTCTTCAAACTGCTGACCAACTTGCTGGCCAGAGATTAATGATTTGCTTTCTGGCAGCCTGACAGCCATGGCACAGAGCACGTGAAGCCTGGCAGCACTGGGGTTGTCTGCAGAGGCTACTTTTGTGTTCTGAAGCAAGGTGCTCTCTAAATACAGGTAAAATAAAAAGAATACTGTATCATTTCACATTATTTTATACCATTTGCACATCTGCACGCTTTCAGATTCACTGCAGTTGCTTGATAAATCAAAAATATTTTGTTACGTGAGTGGCCTTCTGGCTGTTTGATTTAAATTGTATTATTCTTAGAAGAAGAAAGTCCAAAATTTTACCGTATACAAAATATTTTGTGTGCTAGAGATACAAAGGAGAATTTAAAAATGACAGTTATATAAAACTTCTTTTTCTGAGCTGTTTCTGGTGAAATCTCTTGAGTCTGAAGGTTCATTGAGTCAGGGACTATATTTCTTCGACTTCTCTGTCCTTTTACATTTTGTGAATGATCAGTTTTGAACTACTGATTCCCTGTTTTGTGTAGAGAACTGAGAATATGGCACGCCTTTCCCTTGGAGAGGAATGTCCCTTCTTTGTCCTGGGCTGCTGGGGGGACGCTTGTTCAGGACATGCCCTGTTTGGTTTCCAGTCCTGCAGTCTAAGCGCATTACAAGATGTGCACCAGCTCAGGGAAGAAAAAAAAAGGCATTAACTTAGTCTTGGGGAAGGAGAGCAGATTTACTTCTGGATTCAGCTCTTATCTTTAGGAGTCTTCTCCAGTAATTAGCCTGGAAGTGTATTCACAGCCTAATCTTAGAAAATATTTTGAGTTCACTGCTGCCCCACCTCCTCTGGAAGAGAAGGGCTGTTTGTAGCCCTGAGAAGCGGTGCAGTCTGTGTTCTGGGCTGCGACTCAGGTGCTCTCAGTGGCATTTCTCCCCTGCCAGCATTTCGGACCCTCTTCAGCCCCTGCCCCCCAATTGCAGAGGTGATGGTTGCCCAGTCACCCTACTCGGGCTGTAACTGCTCGTCGGTACCTAAGCCTTAGGTATGCAGTTATTCGTGACATCTCACAGCTATCTCAGATTTTCAACCCATCTATAAAGGTAGTTTGCCCTTTGACAGGTGACATGGGGACGATTCTAAGAGTGATCTCTTGACACAGTGGCAGGAACAAAGAGGTTACGTGGGGCAGCTTGGGACAATATGTTTACTCAGTCGAAACTGCAGGGACCGGTATGTTTGGGCATGCACTAGGGTTGTAAAAGCCTATGGGTTTTTCTTCTTGCATTGTTTCCCAGAGATTATTTCTATTTTGCACTATTCTATTATTTTTATATTTCTAAATGAGTTGGCCCCCACGCAAAGTGAAAGTCAGGTACGTATGGACATGTGTGTGGACTCAGGTCCAAACTCGAAATAGTGTAAAAATACAGGGATACTGGTGTTAATAGCCTAAAATTAAAAGAATGGTTTTTTAAAAATCTTGATTTTAAAAAATCTGCCGCCCTCAGCAAACCTATATTTTACCCCACGTGAAATTCATCAGAATATTCTGACGGTGCTCACCCCAGCCAGGAGGAGCGTAGGTGTATTTCAAGCAAGGTAATCCCATTTGTCAAGTAGCAGATTCACATATACAGGCAGGTAGTTTCTTGGTTTTAAATTTAACAAATCAACAGATTTTAAAATGTGTGTCTAGTAACATACAGTGAGGCTAGACTGAAACTGCATCCTGCACACAGCCCTTGAGAATGGGAATAATCTATTTACATGACAAGGCCAGACCGGTTTCATTTGTTGGTGTGGGTAGGGGTCGAGTCTCAGCAGACTTCACAGGTGGTGGGACAGTAGGGAGCTGGCCCCCGCTCCCCAGCGCTCCTCCGGCTCCCATTCCCCATTGCCTGACCCCGGCAGCTCCCTGCTCAGCTCCTTCCCAGGCCCTTCTCACACCAGCTCCGTGTTTACCAAATGGGTGTTGCTGCACTTCTTTAGTGGAAGTTACACAACCTAAATACGACCTTTTATTTGCATCCATGCTTAGTTGATTACTGACCGTTAGCCGTTTTGGCAACTATACAGAGAATATCGCTAATAGGAACCGGTCACAACAAAGAATATTGTTCTGTTGTGTCACAAATTACACGCTACTGAGTCACATTTGCAAGAGGGAGTAGGGGAATGCAGTGTTTTGTTTAGGAGCATAACTGTATGGTGGTGTAACTCCGGTAATTTTATATTGTTTCTGTTGATATAACCAGGGTCCGCAGGTGGGTGATTCATCATACCACGTGAGAAGATTAAGGAAGATTAAGTTCTTCGCTTGCATGTATCTCCTGGACTTCACTAGAATTGTGTTCATCTGAGCCTGGACTTCATTTGCTTTTTGTTATGTCACAAATCTGCTACTAGCGGTAGAGACTTCTGTTTTTGATTACTAAATTTATTTATATGCTTGTTCAGGTTAATCTGTCCCCTTGTCTATTTTTTGGTGACGTTCTTTTAAATCTCATGTTCAGAGAGACAATTTCAATGTTCAGTTGCAAAAATCTCTTTAGTTTAGTTATCTTGAAATCTAAGAAACTTTTTTTTGTCACCAGTAAACCCAAAGATTAAATACTTGCTTTATTTACTATACTATTTATCGCATTATTGCTATTAAGACTGAACAAACCAAGAGAGCAGCGTCTGAATTTATAAACAGTAGCTTTAGAAATGCGTTGGCTGTAATTAACACGATTATAATTTTGCAGTAGCATTTTGTGTAAGGCATCATTTGTATTCTGTTAATGAGACTAGAAATAGATGTTTGGATCTAGGATTATACAAATTGCTTCCCTCTGAGAATATTAAACTAATAATTGCTTCCAGGAATAAGAATTTTAATTTTTGCATTCTGAAACTAAAAATAAGGACAGCAAAAATGTAATAGATTTAATATTATAGTAGCTCCTTTATTATATGATTCAGTAGAAGACTATGGACGCGATGCTTGTTCCTGCGATAGACAGAGCAGTGCGCTCTTTTTAAAAACAGTCCTGGCGAAAAGAATACAAAATAGTTTTCCGTAGGAAAACCATTCCTAAGCAGACAGTTTGTTTCTCATGAAATCAGCAGCAGATAAAAGAACTGTTACACTGAGGCTTTGGTTCAGTGGGGGATTAAGGGCACATCAGTAATATTGCTTCCTGTGTGGCTGCATCCTAAG